ATGTCTCTCTCTCTTTCTCTCTCTCTCTCTCTCTCTCTCTCTCTCTCTCTCTCTCTCTCTCTCTCTCTCTCTCTCTCTCTCTCTCTCTCTCTCTCTCTCTCATAATGCACTGCCAAGGCTAAAGACCCAGCTTATTTCACACTCCAACTATTATCCACGCACGTATAGTTCTTCGAGACACGACGGAGACGCAACAGACTTTCCAGTCAGCAGACACTTCAACCAGATTTTCCTCGAGCTGGACTTCACCCGCTGTCTACACCGACCAACCAGTGCTCTTTTATGAAATTTCACAGATCAAGTTACGATGTCCACTCAATGTCGACCAAAAGGTGGGTACTAAAATTCGATCCACGAGCAAAATTATTAACAGATGCGCTGTAGCGGACGGTGTGTGTAAAGACAGGTCTAGCGGCCGATCAAAAGGCCCCTGTCCTGACAACAAGAGAGGCAGCAGTGGCCTGAATGTAACAACAAGGAGATTTGCCATTAGTTGGGTAGCCCACTTTCGCAGTAAACTGTTTGAAATACCGTACTGCAGCGCTGTTTTGGTAAGCCACGATCGTGGTAAGGTACCAAAGTCAAAGAAAGAGACAGAAGCATGGTTACTGACTTCAGAGTTTGTTATAGTTGTTGCTGTCGTAGAATAAGCAGTTAATACGACAGCATTTCGATAAGGGCATATATGTGGATGATAAAGATAATAATACAGAAAAGAAACAGAGAAAGGATCAAACTGCAGCACAGACCGAGCGCCCACGAACCACAGCTTGCATCATAATGTGAACAACTGAAGGCAATAAATGCCAAACATAATAACAAAAGATGCATCAAAAGCAGTATCATCAAAATGCGACAGTGTTCTTTGTGAAAGTTACAGTAAGTGCTGTACCTGTTCAACTTCTTCATATATATATCAACACTAAAGTAATGCTACGCAAAAGTAACTAGACATATATTCTTTCTTGTTTCAGTAACAACCTGTGCACCCAAAGGCAACATTTCATCATTTTACATGATGGCCAAAGGCAAAGGTAAACAAGACTGTCTTTTTGCTTAAATGTCATTATCACTGTCGCTATCAAGGTGGAAGTTTTTGCTTCTTTTGTCTTTAATTTTGGGTTTATTTGTAGTTGTTTTCCTTCATTTTAAAAAAAGTAGTGTTCTTTGTCCTTACTTTTGTTGTGGCACTCATTTACTTTTGTTATAATAAATGGTAGCTCTTATTTTTGTCGTGGTAGCTGTAGCCATTACTTCTGTTGATGTTGGTTTGGGGGGGAGGGGGACTTCAGATTAAACCCAATGAATTATTGCAGCCAGACTCAACTTTGAAGAAAGGAATTCATTCTAAAATTAAATGCTACTAAAAGTATAGAGAAATTCTTTCTTTTACATTTTGAAAGTCATTGTAATTATAATAATAAACATCCAGTTATAATTATTTTAAAAGAGTAGGGGCCTACTATACTAAACATTTTTTAAAGACCATCTGTATTGGGTTAGAATCAAGAGCCAAAATGTAAGATCTATTTTGCAAAATAGTTATTTCAAATTCATACACATTTACATCACGTATATAAAAATAACAACCCACATAAAATGGAAAGTTATAACATATAAAAATTAAATTCTAGATGAAAGTACTTTATATACATTGCGACAGGTGTGAAGCGACCAGTGAAATGAATACACTAAGAGTATCAGTTAGCTTGAGTGTATTCCACGAATGTCAAAAAGCTCTTCATTCAGTACAACGGAACTTTCAAAAACAGTTCAATCAATAATCCTTGAAAGCTGCTTGAAACTTGCATGACATGATACAAAAATAAGAGAAGGTCAGTGCAAAAAGTACTTCTTTTTTTCTAGACAAACATTACCTGACACTTCTAGATGACCCACTACTTCAGGCCTATATATAAATAAATAAATACATGGTATAACTTATAAGTGTACACCTCATGGACACTGCTACGAAACAAAAAGGAGGATGGAGAATGAGATTCCAGGAGGTATTTAAATCTAGTACATGAAAAATATCAGCTTCAAATTTTGAGAGGAAAGCATTTTACAACGCATGGAAGGTGTTAAAATGAGACATCTTCTAGGTCAGTCCTAAATTTTTCTTCTTCCAGTACAATCCAGATTGGCAAAGAAAACATAAATCATCAAATCAATCGGTCAGCAACAAGAGGTCGATGGCGCTGAAAGACAAGCCTTGCAGGTGTAAGCCTAACTACAGATCTTGAAACACTGAAATGCTCTGCGACTCAGATCAAGTCGAGACTACGACAATTAGGTAAGCAAATTGATCCTACCAACAACATCGGCTGTTTCTTTTTTAGATACGATACACCAAAAAATTAGGAGGGAAAAAATGAACAGGCAGGCTTGGACTGCGAGGAGCTGGGGTACGATTTCATCATTGTCATCATGGTAATAATTTAGATCTAATCTAGATCTAGATCTAGATCTAGATTCTAGAAGTCTAGATTCTAGATCTGCGCCTAAAATTTATAAAAATGTAAGATAAAAATCAATGTCGCCTTCAAACATTTAGTTTTGACCCGAAGGGCTGAAAACAAAACCACCAACTAAATCTAGAATCTAGATCTAGAAGGAGAAAAAAGTTTTCTCCTTTGGAAAGTAAAAGAAAAAAAAAGACATGGAAATCAAGCCTAGATTCTAGATTTAGATCTAGATCTAGATTCTAGATCTAGATTCTACCAGCATAAATTTAAAAGTGCAAGAGGAAAGGGAAGCAACAGTTACAAAATACAGTGAAGAAAAATTATGACAGAGAGTGCCTACCTGCTATCCGAATGACTGCCCGATCCGCAGGGTCAAGCTGGAGTATGCACAACGGTAGTTCACTATAATCCGTGAAATACTGCCAATCTCTATCACTCCAAGGACTCTCCATTTTTAGACTTGTGATCAACTTGAATCCTTGAGAAAAGTCCTAGGTCCACAATAATTCTGCCTCATATCGTTACTCCATCATCCTGTCTGGTCAAATGTGCTGTTAAAATTCTGGAAGGAAATAATAAAACAATTGTTGAATTGCCTTCAAAGTAATGTGGTAGTTATAAAATAAAATAATCAAGCCAAGGCATGCCGTATTGATAGGTTCACCATATGATGAGGAGAAAATGATTGCTCACGCTCTGTCTGACCTGGTCATTTCGACGTGGGTGTGTTATTGTAAGCGGGAGTATCCACACTGTTTTCCGTCAGAAAGATTAGATCTAGAGAGCTACACTCTTATACATAAAGATCTTTTGCCAGTTCTACAGAGCAAAAACGTACATGCTTTACTTACTTGTATGGTGAATTTGTTGATATCGGGATAATTAATAACGGATGATTCACCAGCTGACCCGTGCCGAAACGATGATTCCAGCAAAAATTATGCTAGCAGAACAATGATGGCTGCCGAAGGCAAAATAATTTTAGAGTTCTTTCCCTTGTCCCGTGATTCTAGAGACTTAGTTGTTCATTAGTTATGTCCCATTTTCTCAGTTGTCATTCCCATAGAACTAAGTGAGCAGCTGTGAGTTCGATTTCCTTCATACAGTTGGCTATGTCAGCTTCAATTTTATTGAGTGAGTCATTGTAAGGAATGCCTTGAATTTCAAGGCTTATTTATAAAAAGGAACATCGTTAAATAACACACAGGGAAAGGCAGTAATGCGAAGACGTGGCAGACTTAATCGATAACAAATCGATAACACGGAGTTTTTTAACGGTGTTGTAAGGTTCGTTTTCATTGGTTCGCCTGTCTGTTAAAGTCATCGATGACGATCATCCAAGTCATTCGACAACGCTTGAAGACGCGCTGTTTGGTGCAGGTTTAAAAAAGAAGCATATTTTCGTTATTCATTCAGACTTTTCAACTCTGTTCTATTAACAACAACCAAAAGGCAACAATAATATTAATATGCATACATGGCACATGGAAATAGGCAAATTCATGCTTCTGTTTTGTGCATGACGGTTCAAAATGTACCGAAAAACTATCTTTGGTTTCTGCTTACGAGTCACACAGGCACGTTTTTGCAGTCATTACATTTTTATCTTGACCACAGACTTAATGAATTAAGATTATTTACAATACACAATTATTACCCTGACCAATAATCTAAGATATATAGATCTAAATATATTTAAACAAAAAAAAGAATATAACAAAATAAAACAGTAAAAAATAT